AGAGAGATAAATAGTAGTGCAAAGGACGCTGAACGCGCTAAGCGACAACCAGTAACAGCGAGTTCTCTGTTTGTCAGCGGTGGTTTCGATGTCTTGCAGAAGCTCGACCTCTTTGAAAATTGCAAAGGCTGGCTTAAATCTCTAGCCACTTAAAGACCCTGCTATCTATGTGTCGAGTTGGAAGTAGGCACTTTTGAGGCGAATATTTGAAGAGAAAACATATAAAAGAAGTAAAAAACAAACGAAGCGGGAGGGCGGTAAAACCGTGGCTCTCGCCGCCATTTGCGAGTTTTCGCGGTAACAGAATGGATGAAGTAAATTTCTAGTGAGTTCATCTTATTGCTTGGTCCTTTGACCACATTTTTAGAGCTATTGAAAATTACACTAAAATAGAAAGCCTTGATACGAAAACAAAACATAGCTATTTACCTTCCCACAGCAGCCGGTCCCGTCATTGCTTCTGGTTAATATTCTGCTAGGTTCCAGTCCCGCTTTCTCAGATTCTTTACAGTGAAAAAAGAGTGACAAATTACGTTAAAGTTTCGCACTAATGGAGATTTAATCGACTTTAAAATATTGGTACTAAAAATTAATACAATAGCTGTAATCAAACGGATTCATGGTAACCATCTTCATTGCTTTGCGAAATTTCCTGACTTTTTTCTGACAATTGTATTATTTCCCTGGCCAACTGTGGTAACAGTGTTATACATTAATCCTTATGAAACATGATTCGATAGCTACTTAACGTATCTTGGAAAGATTGAATATCTTAGAAACCCAACTTTAGCTAGTCCAAGTAAATTTCAATAAACTTTATTCAACCAATTAAACACGTCTCATGTTCGTGAAATGTACCAAAGAATTTAAATTTTAGAACATAATGAATAAAGTAGAAACGGAAAGTGTATGATTTCATTCAGAAACAAATTTCAACCCGTACTTCTATGGGAAATGACGTGTTTGATAGGTATCTGTCGGTTGTAATTAACCATGAACATGAGTTATATCAAATCACATAATGTTATGGGTCAGAATTTTCAATCATGAAGAGGGCCGATACAAGATGAACGAGTCCGTATTAACTTTTCCCTAAACTTTTTTAAAAATGAAGATTTTTCCTGATTTAAAGTGAAATTCTCGACTTTTCCTTGACCTTTTTAAGACCTGGGTATTCTAAGACCTGGGTATTCTATGACCTGTGGCAACTACGACAACTGCAGAAACCAATTAATTGAATAAAACAAGCGCAGCTGAGACACCCAAAATTTTAAGCAATTCACGCATTGTTTTGTTGCAATTGTAGGGCGCACTGAACTACATTAATAGTTTTCTTGCTTAACTACTTACTAACTTACTTAATTACCTCTCTACTTACTCATCTACGTACTTACTCACTAACCAACTTACGCACAGTAGCGTGATATATTTATCACGTTAACCCAAATGGCAAATAGGTTATCATGAAAGTTCCTCCGTAAAAACGACTTGTTTCACTTGAGGTTGTGGTTAGAATCTGTTCTTGACTTAAAATATTTTAAACCAGGATGATTCGCAATTTTCTGGTCAGATTATGATGGTGAAAACAAGATGAAAAAAAAAGCTTGCTGGTTTTTAAAAAAATTTAAAGCTAGAGAAATTACCATTTTAAATAAGCTATACCTGTTGGTAAAATTGGGAGTCTTTGCTTACCTGCGTTCCGCGACATTTCAGTGACCATAGACTGCATTGCTTCGCCAATCATACTTGCAGCGAGAAAAATATCATTGTGTATATCAACTGGCAAGTCTACAGGAGAACCATAAAATAAAAAAAATTTCAGCATTCAAAACATAGATATATCTCCAATTCATGTTTCTTGGGCGATTCTATCTTTTGCAAAAATACAGGTCACTTTACTTCCAATTAACCTTTGGCGGGTCCAGTTTTATCGTACCTCTGAGATTGTAATAGGTGTGACTCTTACAATCCCAGAAGTACTTAATACTGGACCTACCAAAGGTTTCTACGACAATCTATGGACTTAAGTTTTTGAGGTTTTGCACAGTGAAACAATGGAACTCTACCGGTCGCGACGAGGAACATTAAAGCTTGTAACATTTTCAGGCAAAAATTAAAATTCATATACCTTTTAAATTTTAACTGTAAATAACTTTAATATTTTGTTTCTATATATACTGTTTTTACTCTACTTTTTATTACACTTGAAATGAATTTTACTTACCGTGGCGTACCTGAAAACTAGTTGTTAAACTAATTGCACTTACCACTTTAAAAAAACACAGTCTCCACTTCAGATATCTGTCCCTTCGTTCTAGGACAACTCGATCATTTTTTTCTGAGTTATTGGTAGATCCTGCGCTTTGCACCCACCACGCGTTGGCCATAAGGGCATAAAATCGCACTTCAATAATATCAACACGTGCGCAATTGCTAGACACTCTAACTGGGAGTTATCGACAAAGTTTCCTTACATTGGAACAAAAGTGTGAAAACATTACCTGAGTAAGCATCCAAAGGGAAAGTAGATGTTATTCTATCGACAATATTACTGAGCTCAATCCCTTCGTGAGAAGTGTCGAGTCGATCTACCACGCCCAACTCTGCAGCCGTTTTAAGAAGAAAAGAATTACGTGCCAAGCTGCTCTGGAAATCCTCGAACTGGGGTTTTTGATAAAAATGTCTAGGCGACAAGGAATACCGAGGAGAATTTAGCTGCAGCGATGGACTTGGCGTAAGAAATGTTGCCTGAGGAACGACGGAATGTTGGTTTAGGGACTGAGCTGGTAACATGCCTGGCTCGGAAGGAGATTGGTAAAAGCCACCAGAAAAATTAACTCGCGTTGACATCATGGTATTATTCGGTTCGGAAACTGTAGGGGGAGGAGCAACGATCGCCATTGAGGGTGACACGGTTGTGTGAGGCTTGGAAGAAGGCTGAGCTGCTGGCGTTATTGGCGAAGAGAGCTGCATAGCTTCATTCTGCAATGAAGAATAAATCGACAAATCCTATTTTATTATTATCTTATCATTATGTTATCTAATACTTATTTTTAATCAAAGGATTCTCGTTAGCCTGGGGATAAACCCAAGCTGGTCGAGAGACCCGACTTCAAAACATCCCGAGCAGCATTAGAATTTTGCTTTTTTAGAACTCCACACACACAAAGCTTTAAATATCAAGTGCTCAAGTAAGAAATCTCAAGTGTATTCCTCAATTATTCACCGAAGTAGGGGTACCTATTCACCGACAAGCCTACCAGAACTAAGGTGATTGATTACTTTGGTGTATACCACACAAGCTGAGTAACAACAACGAGTGGCAAAAGTAGTTGGCACGCCTCCCTTTCTAGATGGTCCACAATGCTTCACTCAACATCTTGACTCCCCCTTCCTCCAAACAATGTTGCCTGAAGTTTGTAACCACGTTATAACACCAGACAACACTGAAATCGGGGAAAGGGGGAAATATATTACAGCTATAGGAAAATTAAAAAAGTAGTAGATTGTGCTTAGACTTTTGACACTCACTGAAGTCAAACAAAAAATTTTCATCAAAAGCTAGAAAAGCTTTTTATTTCCCAAGCAAGGCATATTGACGCCTACAAAACATTTGGAGGAATTTATTGACTTGATACAAAAGCACTTACCTAGCTTATACAAAGAACTTGTTTATTTAGTTTATCATGATACTGTAACAAATTCGACTTGTGGTTGAAACCATGCTTCACAACTTTCTTTTCCCCAAAATTTGAAATTAAAAAGATCAACAATCCTTCCAAAAGTACTTTGGAACCGCACTTTGGCGCCACTTTGTGTACAGTTCTTGGCCTCCTCGATTATTAATGAAATTTTCCCTTCCGAAAAAGAAGTGAAAGACATTTATGATTTTGTTTCTCGTCGGCTGTTTGGATGCGAATATTGCTTGGCTAATCACCACCGAGATAGCCAATCAACGCGCGCGAAAAGCACTTTTCACTTGTGTGGTATGAACCATTATGAAATATGTTGCTCTCCAGGGGTGTAAATAAGACTGTTCACACCTTCATTTCACAACTTTAGAGAAAAGGTCGGAAAAAGACACGAAGAAAAACTTGTGATTGTTGTTAGGCCTCCGTTCTGTCTTCTCCCCCCGTGAGCAAAAAGGAATGCTTGGTTGGGTTTCGTCTAATGCGTTAATTTGTTACTGATTTTATCACAATAGGCTTTTCTTGTAACATGTTAGCTAATTAGTTGCCTCTTGATTTAAAAGCATTACTTGTGCCAAAATAAGAACCCCCCAAAATAAAAAAAATTATCATAATTTGTTCGTTTAATCCTATGAAAAAAAGAAATCACATCCATTACAGAGGCTTAGATGTTTGAGCGACGTTACTTCGAACCCGTGGCACATAGAGCATTTAAATGTGACTGGTAAAGCGAATGTGTTCAGAGCAGTAAGACTAATTCTTTGTTTGTTGTGTGATTTAAGAGTCAGACATTAGAATTTTCTTAATCTCGACGCTAATTTATGAACAACGAGGATGCTCGATGGGAACGGAGCAAAATCAATACCTTTAGGCGCTTCAGTTCAAAGGTTGCCTGTGGATAGTTTCGAAAATCAAAATCAAAACCGAATGTGTTAATTAGTGAGCGACGCTACACAATAGCTAAAATGCTGTTAGGAAGCAGGAAATCTTCCCCACTTTACACAACAAATAATAAATCAGACCCTATCATCGTGCTGAAATTTAAAGTTTGGATCAAAATCACTGGAATTTGACAGAAATATCAAAACAGATATACGTCCTAAGCTTAGCACTTTTAGCTGTAGTTTTTTTACAAAGATTTTGTCCAAGAATAAAAGAAGTATTTTCATATCATGTTGTTCATTAGTGCTATATATCTGATTATTTTGAAATGTGTACTGAGGAGGTACTAAAGATTTTGATTTCTAATACTACTCAGTAAAATAAACGTTAAAACACTTTCACCCCTCAACGAAGGGTGGATGACGGTCAGTTTAAAGCAAACTAAAATTATCGATTTTAAAAGTACATTTGAGATTATCTGATGAAAAAGATATTGTACTACCGTTTGGAGTTTGTGGTTAGTATCTAAAGCTAACTGGTCCAAGCGATCATAGGCAAAACTAGAGGCTATTTTCTCCTCGTATTCAAGAAGACAGGAAAATGTCCTTTCCTCTGTGACGGTAGATAAAACGACAACAATGTTTGACTTGAACTTTACTTTTAATTTACAATTGTTGCTGATCACAACACGACAAATTGCAAATATTAAGTTTAAATTAAGAGATTTACAAAACAGATGCATTGCAAAATCTTTTTGAAGTATGATAGCATGCTATTAAGTATTCATATGTTCTCAAAAACGTTGAAATCGAAAGTAGACAGCAAAGCTGTAACTTGAATTTCACGCAGAATTTAACATTTTTAAAAGTTTCAAATTTAAACATTCATGAGCGGTTGAGTCGCACTTCCGATTATCACATCCAAGGCGTCAACCCTAAGCAAAACATTTAAACAAGTTCGCAAACAACTCAAACACAGTTGTATATTTGTCTCGGAAGTATTGTGCTTTGTACCTTTGAACGTTTTCTTCATTTCAAGACTGTATTCCGTATAAATATTCAGATCCGGCTGTGTAAGCTGCTAAACGTTGGTTTTTCATACAGCTCTAGTCGTAAAGCGATGCCAATGCCATGTGATTATTATGCCCTATTGTCAGTCAGAAGTAGCATCGACTTCCTATTGTTTTCATTTAAAAAGTTTCGAGTGTCAAAAAATTTAGTAGACATACACAGCATTATCGAAACGTGATATGAGATTGGTTCTAGCCGACTCGGCGCAATAATTCCTTTCCTTTTTCCTTCAAAAAGTTGAAGTAAAAGGCATATGCACTTCACCTATTCCTAAGATGAACAATAAAAACATCACTTTAGCCTCTGAAAGGGGCGAACTACTGAAACGACTGTTACGTTATGTATCAAATTCCCTTAGTATTTGATCTGTCAACACGTTTCTTATGACAAAACAAAAGACATACAATTATGTATCAAGTTTTAATTCGAACTGCAACGGTTTCGAGAACATGATTACAGCGCTCAAGGTTTTAACGCCAAATTAAAGTTACTTTCCTCTTTTAAATTTTATTTTAAATGGTAATAGGTTTAAGGCTTTGCTACATTTAAATTTGATAAGAAAAATTATCTTTGAGTCCTCTTTAGACTCTATACACATATTTTCTACAGTTACATAATTATATCTTCGTTGATTAATTATACGATAGAACTTAGTTGTTTTGCGGTCAAAAAAAAATTTCATCACTATCACAAAGTTAAGAAAAAGTTTGCGCAAATTCAAGTCAGCTACATGTAAGCCAATCACATCCTTCGCTATCACACACAACCCAAAATGGCAGCGACAAAAATCGCGACACGCATGTGCCATTTGGGGAAAAACTGAAATTTATTTTCAACTCATTCAACCTAGACCCAGTACTGCGATCGTTGTAGCTCAATCTTTGCCTGTACCTGTTGAAGAAGGATCCTTAAACGATGGAGCTGAACTTGCAACTGATAGTTATGCTCTTCGAGAACTTCTTCACGTGCCTCCAAACGTTCCCTCTTGCGTTGTAAATGGGCCTCTCTGGAAGGGCCCTCAGTAGGGACAATAATATGTTCCCTTTGATGCTGGCGTTGAAGTTGATATATACCATTGATTTCGCCTTGTAGGGCCCTGCACGGAAAGAAAAATAGAATCACTCTTACTTTAAGCAGAATTTCCTCTATCAAACTTCCAAGTTGAAGAAACCAAACTCCAACCATTTTCATAATATGGAGTACTCACGCAAAAGGTGCAAACTCTACGAGTTAAGAGAGCAAATACAAACGATTCTATGAAGGTTACTTTCACAAGTGGCGTATGGTCTATGAGGAAGACTAGAGGAAACTAAGACCATAATCATAAGGGATACTTTAACAAATGGCGCATAATCCACAAGGAGAGGTGAAGCAAATTCAAACCATTCTAATAAGGAATACCTTTACACATGGCGCATGCTTGAGGAGAAAAAGTACACTCTTACAAAAGAAGCATGCTCTATGACAACGAGTATGGTATTTTACTTTTACCTCAGCGTTCAGAATTTCATGAGAAGGATGCGTTGAAACCAGAGTGAGCAGACACTTGTTTATGCTAACATACCTGTTATCGTTTTCCAAACTTTTGATCAGATGCTCCAAGTCTCCCTTGCTTTGAATGTCTCCGTACCTTGCGTTTTGAGTAGGACTGGCAGACTGAAAAGATGGCACAACACTTACATAAAGATTTCAACCTCCCCCGTCTATACGCCAACGTGGTCCTAACATTATGAAAGATGCCCTGCTTACCAAGATTTCCCTACAGATCAGTGAAGGAGCATCCCACCGGAAAGCTTAAAGTAGGGTCTTCGAGTCTCCTTCCAAACTTGATATCTTTTGATTCTTTTCCATAATCAAACTCAAATTCAGCCACTTGCGCCTAAATCATATCTATAAACACTACTCAAGGTCGAGCAAAACTCGAATAATGTCGTAGCAATTAATAACATATCTGAAAGCTCGAGTAGCTTTATGCAATATTAAATAATAAAAGTTGGATTCGATCTCTCATTTTTGCACACGCATGCGACGTCAGATAACAACCAGCCTTCTTTTGATTTGAGTTATTCTGGTTTAGTTTAAGTGATTTAAAGTTGAGACCTGAACAAAAAACTTACAATGTTTCGGCGAGGTGTGCCTAATTTCCGACACTTTAAAAACAGTTACAATCGCACTTAGAAAGACAGTAATCATCTCCTTCAAGACACCTACCATCGACTCTGGCTCACTAGTCAAGCTGGGGAAAAAAGGAGTAATAGAAGAAAACATCATTTAAAGTTAGCACAAAAAACAAAATAGGTGCTAACCTATCTATAAGAGTGTTCATAATAAGAAAACCACGCATCAATCAAACTTAAATGACTCACTCAGTGACAAATGGTCTATGTTCGACCTTGTAGAGGGGCGTACCTGAGAGGAGTCCCGGGGTGCCTGTGAACCCACTTGTGAGTTGATCGTATTTTAAAGTCAACGATATACAAACTACATAATTCGCAAAGCGAAAAGCTGCGAATCCGAAGGATATGAATGGCATGCATCACTCAATTCTCACACAACATGACAGCCGGGTAATTACCTTGGGCGCGAAACCCAAGCCTTGAAAAATCCTAACGACGTCCCCTGTTGCGTGCACGCTTGAACCAATGAGCAAGTGAGGAAAAACGAAAGCTGACTATTTCGAACGAATCGCTTAATCAAGCAGCTTTTTTGACATCTTTTACTTCGCCAGAATGCAAACCTTAAGCTTGGAGAAGAATAATTCGGTGGCGAACAAATCTCTCTCAGTTGTGGGGAATAGCTTTCCCAACCGCATGTGATGACCGTCAGATTTTTTCGGTGTCCAACAATGAATTTGCGTCATGAAATTGCCCTGTCGGTCGCTTGTACTTTGCAACGAGGACATGATTTAAACAGATCTGTATTTGTATCATTTCCTTCCTCGTCAGAGCTACTAAAGATTTCGTTTTTCGCAAAATTATAAAGTAATATTTCTGGAATGAAAAAAAAAATCCCTTCTACTTGTACATGGGGCTACCTGCTAGACCTGCTTTTCACTAGCTATGGCTATTTGCAGGTCAGTAAATGAAATATTGATATCTGATCTTGAAATTGAATTAACGTGCATGTAAATTGGTAAAAAAAGACAGAACTTGAACTTTGGTGATGACCGAAAAATATGTTTGATTTGAGTTTTGTGTGAAGATTTTCTTCAACGACTTTCACAAACAAACAACACAAAGTTAGTTTTAGGTACAATACCTCTTTGTGTAATGTTGTATTAGACCGTGTTCATCAGCCCTGCTGGGAAACAAGAAAAGAAAAAAATCATAAAAATCTTTAAAATAACTGGATGAAAATGAGCGATGTCGAAAAATGTGTAGGGATGGAGAAGAACAAGGAAAAAAGGTTGAGTGGAAGTAAAAGGGCGGCGGAGCAGAGAAAAGAGAGAAATTGTAAACGGAGTAGACAAAACAGCAAACATGGATAACTTGAACAAACGCGACAGTACACTCTCACAAAAGAAGCAAATGCTGCTTTACTGGAATTTAACACTGAAAGGAAAGATAATACTTTAATTCTTAATTATCTTAAAAAGATAAGAAGGAAAAAAATGCTCTAACTAATGTTACACTAGAAATTAACTTCGTGAAAATGAAATTTTCAAACAAGCATAATACTTTGATTCTTCATTATCCTTAGAAAGATAAAGAAAAAAAATCCTGACACTAATGTTACCCTAACAATTAATTTCACGAAAATGAAACACATGCTCGTAATTCGTAGTGGCCTGAAAACTACCGGCCACACCCTCGTGTCAGACACGCCCTTTTATGCACCAGTTGTTTGCAATACCATTAGGACCGGATGAACTCCAGTTTCTCTTTCGACAGAAAACCTTTTCCAATTTTATCTGCATTCAGCTTAAAACTATCTCTGGTCACCTCTAGAACCACCTCCGCCATTGCATCCTTGATCTTCTCAATTATTGTCATTATTATTATTATTATTATAGTTAATATTGTTATTAATATTACTGTTATTATTATTACTAGTATTATTGTCATTATTTAATCATGATCGTTATTGTTATCATTATTATTATTATTATTATTATTATTATTATTATTATTATTAGTGGTAGTATTTTTATTAAATTATTATTTCAATATTTCTATTTTTATTAATATCACGCCTTCCTTTACAAACTAACCTAGCCGCATGGTCTCTGTTCTTGACGTTTAAACCTGGTGAAACTTTCTCCGGGGCGCCAAAATCCACAGAATCCCTAAATGACATGAGAAGAAATGTTTTATGAAACACCGCCGTGCAGTAGTAGGCCTAAAGTCATCTCTAAGCCTTTCGCTTAACCTTAAAAAAATATGCTGACAATGTCACAAGCAATCATGGAGACTCTTCGTTTCCCCTAATCATTAATTACAAAAATAAATACGAAAAAAAAGCTCTAGAGCATAACTGACCGAGACTGAAGTTTACCGTAGTTTTTTTGTTGGGGTTCTTTATTTAACACCAAACAGATAGAGGTGTACATATAGTGCAGCAGCGGAGCGTGTATGTAAAACCCTAAGGGTATCAGTGAACGCAACAAATTGAACATTTTTTTTAAGACTCGTTTTGTGGAATGTTCTAAAAGTTCTTGCGACGGGAAGTAAATTCGTATTATCAAGCGTTTGTGTGTAATCCTCCACGAGGTGCTTCGAAAGTTTTTCCCTCGATGATTGCAAGTGTAAACTCGTTTTTTCCTGGAGGTAGAAACACTTAATTTTGAGACCTTTTGCAAGTGCACAAAGACAACATAGCGGAAAAGGGTGTCAAATCCGACCGAAAACGAACTCGATCGGGGACCCTCTACACTTTTGGAAATCGAGAGTTAAATTCGAACACGCTGAAAGTTTTGCCGTAATTGAATACACCTTCGTCACCTGCAATTCCTTAGCTTTCAGAAAATATTAATTTTACTACGGTAACGTTGCATCAATGAATGATGATCATGTAAGATAATCTGGTACCATAAGTTGGTTTGACACAGTCAGAATGACACAATTAGAATTTGTCTTTGTTCTGGATTATCAGTAAGGGAATTGAAGGTTGTCTTTTTTAAAATACTGAACAAAACATTTTAAACACGACTTACTCGTCTTCGCCATCAGAAGGGGCAACCTCTTTCATTTCGATTGGAATAAACCTTCCTTTGGATGGGTCTTCTTGCCTTTTCTTCTTTTTACTCACTTTATTTCGCATTACTTTGGCGAAGTCTTTCATGTCCTCCTTTTGTGTCGACTTCAGAGATTTCAACAAAAATAAAGTTACTGTTTTTATTGATGGACTAAGTCAGGGCAGACAGAGTTATATTAAAAATACTAGAAGGGAATAATCTTAACAATTATGTTCTCCTTCAAAAAAATAATCGGTCGTCTAGTATGATAAGAATATAGACGAGGGAAATAATTTTCTTTCGGTTTCTTTCTCACATGCATATGAGCGGTGGGCAACCAGGCTAGTTTTGTTGACACTTACCACTAGACAGTACTCCTGTGTGGGGTGACCGATTTTGTGCTGTTTACTCACTCGACCAGACCAGAAGCATCCCTTTATAAAACAAGATAATGGAACAATTACTGTTTTGCCACTTTTGCCATGGTTGTAGGTTTAAATCATTAGTAAATGAGATTCAAGACTTCAAAAACGAGGATTTCACGAGGGTTTTGTTATTCCAAATGAAGTATTCTTGGTTACAAAGAGCAGATGAACTGTGTTTAGTTTCATTACCAAAACATAACACGACATACACAGCACGTTACTAGCCTCAAGATATTCTATAATATACCATATTAAATTACTATTTACAGCCGAAATTATAACTGCTGTCATTGGTAAAAACGTCAAAACACTTTGAGAAATTTCTCGTCATCTTCGTCAAAACTCAAGTCTTTACCAAAAATACAAAGAAAAACAAAACAAGATAACATCAGACATAAAAGGCTTCGTCCAAGCACAAAGGATTACACGTATTCCAACTTAGCCACTAGCCAGAATGTTCTTCACAGAAACAAAACTGGTATACCACTTACTTGAAAACTGAACAAAACAAAATTACTATTAAATTTCCTACCTGACACATGTCGAAGTTGAAACATTTTAAGCAGCGGTATCTAGTGAAGAACAAAAATATAGAATATAAATGCCAGAAAGTTGATGCAAGAAATCGCTTAAGATGAATCGAGATTTGACGCCTGAGAGTTTCCAATGAGAATTTATGAGCAAGGGAGTTTTCAGCGACGGGGACTCAAGCCAGTCCTTATATGGGTTAGAACGGCACAGAGAAAAACCTCACTATGGATGTTAAAGCCTTTAATTTCAAACCATAATTGTCTAAGTAGAGGATATCTCTTCAACAGGTTTGTGCAACTTTTGAAGTTATTTCAATTTACTTCCTAACGCAAATTCCAACTCCCCTCCCCTGTTTTTGGCTCTGCTATCAAAGGTGTAAACGCATAGGAGGACTGGACGTATTTAGGTAGAAATCTGGTGCTTTCCTTGGCTAGGTTTCACGCACAGTAATGACTGTTCAAGACCAGCAGGAACAGGTTATCAAACCTTAGGAGCATGCTCTGTGTTTTGAAGTGCATGGCCCGTAAGTTCTTAATGCTATTCTGAAAAGCATGTAAAAACAAATCAACTACATCCAAAGCATTTTGCCCTCAAAAGGTTAGAAAAATAAAAACAAGCATTTCAAGCATTTACTGAAATAAATCCTTCATAGGGCTCACCTGAAGCCGACTATGGGGTACATCTTACATACATTGCATTTTGACTCGTGTTTCACTGAAAAACAGAAAATAGCAAGGATTATCACTATTGGGTTGCTTCTTTCTTTTCCATGTTACAGCCCGAAATCATGTGAAGAATGAAAATATAGAATTGAGTCCCTTCAAGGTGGAAACTAGAAAATTGTCTTCAAAAGCATGAGGTGAACTAACATTTAATGGATGGCATTCATTAATTGTAGAGTTTTATTAGTAACAAAGTAATAATAACAACAATAATAATAATAATAAGAAGAATATCGTCCAGACATCATTGTCTGGTTAAAAATCAAAGATCAATAAAACACCCAAATCGACGAGTGATAGTAGAGTGTCAGAACATTTCATGTCAAAGAATATTTAAGTTAAGATGTTGTGTAAATTCAAAGTTGATGAAGTAAGTCAAACAAATACTTTTGCGCAAATGGACTATTTGCATTTTTAATTTTCACTTGGCGATGATATTATTACGATATTCGTTGTGTGATTTTAGTATACGATATTCTCAAAATTTTACCAACATGTATACAAACAATAATGGTAGCAAATGATAATGATGGTGATATATTCTTAAGCAAAGATGCGCTAATTGAAATTTAAGTGTGTGCCACTGGATATTTGCCAGTTAAGGCACTAGCGGAAACCGCTGATAACCCATAACTGATCTCACTCTCTTTAGCCATTTCATGGGCCCGCTCACGGCACGACGGTCTCATTCCACGGATGATATACATTTTGTAAAATATACATTTAGCAACTCTACTGACCAGTCTCTGAGACAGCTAGTCTGTGAAGTGTAGGTAGCCAAACAATTGTTTGTGGTTCTGCGATCATCCATTCGATGAACTCTTCTGCTGATGCTCTATCAGGAATGGACACCTGGTTGGAAAAAAAAATGGAGCAGCGCAAGTGGCATTAGAGACCAAAACCCCTCGTACTTATTCTCCAAAAATAGTTAAATGATCCTTAAGTATATTACTGTAGAGAATAACATTATAGTAGTATGGAGCTCTTTGGCATATACATATACTATATGATCTAGATGAAAAGCAAATAGGCTAAAGAATACCCGCATCTCGGACATAATGAGCTTCACCAAACGAATTCCTTAAGGAAAACGCATCACTCCGTCACCACATCGGAATTTTGGTCAAAATGGATTCACTAGTTAGTAGTGAAGCTACTACTGAAGGTAGATTTATTACATGGCAAGGCACTGCAAATTAAGGTTTTAAACTTTCCAGAAACTTAAAAATTGGTTGACCTATATTGCTTTATCTGTGTTTACAGAAATTCAAATATTTCTCTCAATCTAAAAAGCTATTTCATGTCGACCGAAAAACTAGAAATTGAACCCAGGACAATATAACAGCAATTTAGCAAAGCAAAATTCAACTGACGAAACCCTATTTGCCGGGTTGAAATGAAACTTTTTAAAATAATTTGAAGAATCCTTCGATCCACTGGAAATTATTCTCTGAGTTTCAGTATGTCCATGCTTTCATTTAAATGACGATTTTGCATCAACTCAAATATGTGTTGCTATATTAATGTAAAGTTGATTCTTCAATCTTTGAGATCGTAATTCTATTCAACTGTTTGTATTTAGTTGAATTTCGTTGTTTGATTCGACGATTTGCGCCTCTGTTAACGACTAAATTAAAGGGGAATCAAAATAAACCTAGCAATTTTAACTGAGTAAAATTCGCTTCCGATAAATAATTTCTATTCTTTACGTAAGACAGTGCAAAAATTAATTATAACCATAACATAGTACCCTTTCAAAGCAGTTTCTCACAGCTGGCTCCACACTTGACCCACTGAAGAATGCGCCCTCAAAAATGTACTTGGGAATCTAAACAAACAGAACAGGGTTAATGTTTAGAAAAACAAACACAAAAAAAGTCGCTTAGTCAATGAAGCGCCAAAAAAACCCCTCCAATTTATCTGAAATAAACTTAGACACACGTATTTTATGTTCTATTGTCACTGGTGTCTGAATAATTGTTAGCAAAAATAAACTGCAATGGTGCCACGCTTCCTTCAATCTCCTTCACAATCGTTGTTTGGTCTTACACAACGTGCTCTCTCCCCCTGTTGCGTGACGAGACGAAACGTAAATACTTTTGCGGCGGGGTAGGATAAGTTATAAAATTTAGACTGTTTACTGGAGAATGGCATTTCATCTCAAATGAAGTAAGAAATGGCTATTTTGATAAAAGAATTTCGTCGGATAATGATAAATAATTTTCATATTCCGCTTACGAAGTCGCATCAGTATGTAACAGCATATCGGGAAGGTCGGTTCGAACGGAGATTGAAACGAACAAGTTTACTTGTCGTTGAGATGTAGTATTTCAGTACTATTACATTGTAACCTATTTAAAACAAGACACCTTCAACAATAGAAAAACAAAAGGCCCATCTCATACACACTGAGGCAGATGTATCAAGCATATGCGCGCATGTGCGAAATTTTGACGCGCATATCTTTTTTTATTCGCACTTGCACGCGATTTTAGGCGCGTTTTATTAGCGTTTTTTAGTTTACGTAAATCTGAGCGGTATTGTTGTCCATAGCGATATAGTTTATGCAAATGTTTTACGCAATTTTTACTTGAGTCAGCAAAACCAGCCCTTTCAAAACAAACGCATCAGTATATTAAAGTTCACACGGCAACCAGGTGGACAATCAGACATAGTTTGATGCTACTCTGGTTTGCAGATTTAATGAATGTAACAGAAGAAGTTACAATTCATAGACCCAAGGTTTCGACACTCCTGTCTAGTGCCTTCATCAGGGGTGATCTAAACGCTGCAACAAGAGGTCCTTTTAGCGGCCTTTTTTTCTGACGAGGTGTAAATAGGCGTCAGGAAGCAAACCGCCATCGTCACAATTTAAAGGAGCGTGGGCGGAGTTAATATGCCAAGCCTCCAAACAAAGGCGCTGGTGGTAACGCCGATTAGTGGTGATAATTTTAGAATTATCCCACCCAATTGAATGGTTGGTTAGGCATGTATGCTCCGATAAAGTTGTCACAAAAGAACAACGAACCGACGCCATTTATTCTATTCCTTGCAATGATTGTGACAACGAATACATCGGACAGACCAAACGTCAGTTTGGTACACGGTTAAAAGAGCACCAAAAAGCGGTTTTTCTTTGCAAAAAGGAAAATTCAGCAGCAGGCTCGATAATTTCGTGTTAAGCCTATAGCTGACGGTATGTGCGTTGTAGGTGAAGGGGCGGTACACAAAACATTTTTAACTTCGAAATGGTAATAAGATTCCCTGACGACCTTTCTAACCCCGACAGACCATAGCGACGAAGTCCTCACGAAGGATGTGAACTTTTACACTGGGTAGAGGAACTCACAGTTCTTGTCAATGTCATTCTTGATGTGTGTCAATGTTGGGTTGATTCCATCGCAACATATCGCGGTAGTTAATTTCACATCAGGTTATACTCCTCCACCGACGCCACACCAGTTTCTTTAGAAACTTACCCCTCTATTAATTTCATGACATGATTGGCATTGGGGACGACATTCTGGCGAGATACATAGCCTAATGCAGCGATCTTATTTGTGCGAGATACACACCCTGATGCGGCTATCTAATTGGCAAGAGCAACATACCACTCGATACGCTGACATAGTTATTTTTTAAATTAAAAAAAAAAACAAAGAATGAATAAATTTAATTTCCTTCTGCAAAAAAACAAACATATTAAACATTGCTAAGTTGTGCAGTGCACATGTACAAACAAGATATATTGAGTCAAACTAACACAAAAGGAATGTTAGTCCTCAGCCAAGAATGGAGAAATACATTACCCGCAGCATCTCTTGAAGGAACAAATTAAGTCTCTTTCTATCCAAAAATCCCTGGTTATTACAAAGTTGTGAAAACAAATCTTGAAAAGAACAAAGGGAGAACAGGTTAGTTACAAGTGAAATCAAGAAATACTCGCAAAAAGTGATAGAGTGTGAAACAATTATTAATATTCAGTATTTATTAATATATAGTATTTGTTTGTCTACATTCTTGTGACATCTGGTCATGAAAAAATATCAAAACAGTTATCTGAAAGTACTCTTTTAAAAGTTGTTTTCAGGCCTTGTGCTCTACACCAGATGTCAGGCTGGAGACCTTTAGACAAGCTGATACCTACTATGCCCTGAACAAGTTCTATCAGGGCCCTTTTGAGTATGTGAGAAAGAAATCTCAATGTTAATCTCATTTGAAAACTCAAAAGCCAGAATTTACATTATACTTTTGAAAGGCATATCCTGTTTGAACACTTTTATCATCATCGTGATGAAATTATTACAGTCGCAGCTTTTCAAATAATTGAAAAAATGATAAAAACACTATTAGACTACAACAGGATTGACAGATTATGTCTTGCCGGGGAATATCTTAAACACAATTACAACAAAAAAAGATAAACCTACATCTGTATTTTTCTTGAATCTTTTCAGAGCACATAATGGAAAGACAGACTTTCAAAGAAAGAAGTGGCACATATCCCTTTCTCTCCCTAGAGTGAGAGAAATCATTGTGATCAAAGAAAGCATAGAGGGGTTGGTGATGGTACTAAATGTGCATTTCTTAGTAATATAGTCATGTACATACTAGATGTGCAGTGCTTTCAGTTGGTATAACAAGTAATATTCTAGGTCACTTGTAACTTCTTTGTATATACATGAGCCCTTAATCAAGTTTTTGTACCAAGAAATACAAGTGACCAATGGGATATATGATGCTAATAGGACTGGGTGGAGTCCAATACCATCTGTGGTCATGCAAGTGATTAACAATTTGTTTAAGTATGATTTTAGACAGAATTGGACAACACATATTCCTGTCATCAATTAATCAAAACTATGACAAAATTTGAGAATGAAACTAGACATTGGTAATACGTTTTGATAAAAAAAAAATGTTCACTTGGCAATGCAACAGTAGAGCACACTCTCTGTCAACGTACACAGGCATGACATTTTCACTATCCCTTTCACTGTCCTATTACACTGTGCAATTACAAGCATGACACACACACTGTCCTATTAATGCTCAAATCGGCTGGTGATAAGAATTTCGTTATAGTTTTGATTATCCATGTTATTAATATATTACTGCTCCACTTTACCTTTGAGTTATTAGGGTATCAGAATGCACAATCAAATGCCTCAGTATTACACTGTAGAAAAAGGAATTAATATGCCCAGAAAGTAGGGCAGCAAACTATCCCAAGTTTTGGTTTGTTTTTTTTTCTATTTTTTCATCCATGTTTTTACACATGACAACAACAATCTGTTAAGCCCATCAGATTTTTTAGTTAGTCAGTTAGAGACTTAAAAATTGATTCTAAATTTATGTTACCATATGTCTGTTCAGTAATGGATCATATATGATGCAAAAATGTGGTATTAATAAATTTTGCCCCTAACAGTATCCATTTAATATCCAAGATATTAAAAAAGATACATGTGATACACTTTAAAAAACAATGTGTTTCACGGAACAAAATGAGTAATAAACTGTCTGGAGAGGTTTTCACACTGGCCAGACAATTGAAAAGGCATAAGGACAACCATTATCTTTACCCATGACAACTGTGTGTTGGTTGTTGCTGGCCCTTGTGCCATAATTATGATTTAGCTACAATGTAGACCTTAGCATTAACCATAGACAACATTCTCTATTTACTCACGGATCATAGACATTGAGCATCCAGTTAAGGGTCAGTTCACTTGCCAGAGACACGTCAATAAATCCATTCTTATCCCTGTTCTGATTGACAAAAACAGCATTGATGATTTTGGATAGTTCTGCTACAGACAAGTTTCCTTCTGCATATCCATTGTTAATTCCTTCATCACTGAACGACATCTTGACTACACGCAGATCAACCATGTACACTGAGATGAAAAGAAAAACAATAGTTTCATTTCATCTTTCTTCAACTTCATTTTTAACCATTAACTGGTAGGAAATTGTGAGAGCTATTAATAATTTCTCCCATTTAACTGTAATGTTTGGGGCTAATTATAAACTATCTATTTGCACACAAATATATTTGTAACACTGGGCAATAACTGCAAGAAGAAAATGTAACATGAAATGCTGACAACCTTTCTTTTGACTAGTTTATCATTCTCTGACAATTACTTTAGTAGAAAATTGCCAGTATGTTACTTTTGGTGCATGCATTATTTACTGCACTTCAACAACCTGTGCATGATTTGAGATGTTAAATTAGCTTAATTGAGAGGTGTCTCTATATGTACTGGCAAAGTTTGCTCCACATCGGTTTGAAACTAATTATCAGACAATCACACAGCTGCAAAATAAATGTAAGTACAACTTTCTGCAGCTAGCCAAGGTTTAATTTGACAACATTGTCCCTTACTGATAACAGTAAGGGACAATTTTTATTTAAAATACAATACTAAAAATTTATTTTAAAAAATACCCTAAAAATGCCCAGCAAAAATTAAAGGAAATGCAATGCCAGAGAATAGTCCAGAATGATGGGGTTCGGCACAGCTTGCCTATAACCCAGGATTCTGATTCTTTTTAATATTAGTGATTAAAGGTTTTTATTAACCACTTATATTGGTGCCCTTAACTGTTTCCAAGTCAATCTTTTCTAATAACCTAAAGACTGAAGTGAATACAATGATGTGAATGGAGAGAATACAATGAAGGACCAGAATTGGGAGATAAAGGGGCA